TAAGTCGATTCTCCGATCTAGTTTTTAGGTAATCTTCCCTTCAATTTAATTTAGATAAAGATAATCTTAATATTGAAGAACATACGATCTTTTTTCTCTTAACAAATAAATTGTTCTTTGTTGGTGTTTTTGTTTTGTTTTTCAAAAATTTGGCATTTAATTAATTTTGCAAAAATATTATTTTTAAAAATATTGTCTAATTTGTCTAACGAAAATAGCAACTACATTAAAAAGTTACAGCAATAAAAGATAACATGGCATGCAACACATCATAATTAAAGAATTAATGAACAACATGCACATGTATTCTAATAGTAATATTTTCCATCTACACGAACATTTACATCAATTATCCAGTTTTATAAAGTTAATAATACATTGTGATTTATATGTACGTCAAATTTAGTTTTCTTTAAATGAAATTATGGAACCTTTAATGCATAAATTGCGTGTTAACTATGTTATCTTATTGAATTTATACACATTTTAGTTAAATAGAATGTCAGAAAGTTTAATTCTCTAAAGATTCCTGTACATTGTCTTATCAAAACAGTTAGAAATCGATATCGTATCATCTGAAATTTTTTTTTTCTTTTCATTTAATTTAAAAACTTGTACAGAAAAAGGAATTGAAAGGGCATTTCAAAATTACATAAAAAACATAAATTCAATGAGATACGATTAAGGGTTTAAGCAAATTGTCAGCAAACATTAATTTAGAACTCATTTCTACACACATCTATTACAACATACATAATATCATTTTGACACATGTTAAAAGTAACGGTTGATATATAAACGATGCCAAAGACTAAAATCATACAGTAAACGTAAATGTTAACGTTTAAGATATTTACAAACCTTAATGGAAATTTTAGATTTAGAATCATTTTGTTTCCTTTTGACTATTTCCTTTCCTAATAACTATATCAGAAGTATATATATGGTATAGCTAGGGATTAGGAGATTTATGTCCCGGTCTAAGCATCCTAAATGTTTCGTGTTTTATCACTCTGAGTAGTACTACTACTCTGAAGATGGTTTTGATTAAAGTTAAAATTCATTTCTGTTTGATTTGTTAGATGCCTTACACCAGGGCACCGGTTTATGTTATAATGGCAGCTGCGACATTCTTAATTCTGTAACATGTTCTGTTCTTTTATCTTATTTTTCAAGCATGCATTTATTTGAGATGAAAACATATTTAAAGCAATGATTACTTGTAATATAAAGTCACTTTGTTAATTATATTGGTCCAAAATGAAAAAAAAATGTAATTATTCTTACAAATTTGCAAATAAATATATTTTATATATAAAAACCTCCTGATTATATCAGGAGGAAATGTCGCACAAAATATATATTTAGAAATGTGGATGATAACTGTTGCATATATTTAAAAAAAAATGTCTATATACACTATATAGAAAAGAAACTAAAGTAACGGAAAGCTAATTACTATTTGAATAAAGTGGGGTCCGTAATCACTGTAAAAACCTTATTGCATTTTTGGAACAAAATCTGATGTACAGAGTGTGATTCAATAAGATATCATGCCGAAGGGTGATAGACAATGTCCGAGCATTTTCTAATTAAGTCACATACTGTTTCAATGTTTCAATTTATGTTCTTTTCAGAATAGGACCCTTCTATTTAATGCTTTTGACCAATCTTTCCATCAAAGTACCTTAATGTCAGTTGTGAATTAAATTGGTTCTATAATTAAATGGAACACAATGTATCCAAAATATGAAACACGACGTGTTAACTGGTAGTAGGAAAAATGTAAGCTAAACAAAGTCTTGCACTGTTCATGAATAGTTGAATACGGTCTATTATTTAAAAAAAGACCTACATCGTTTCCAATTTATTTGGAAGAAAACAGATTGTTCTAATTTCATAGATATTTTCCGATTTTCTATTATACCTTAAATTTTGATATTTATAAAAGACGTATTCCTGCCTGCTATATGTGGCTTTGAATTTAATTGCTAGCTATGCCGTTTGTTGGTTGATAAAATTCTGATATTGGCAAAGTGTATGTCTGTCTCTGAAGCATATAAATGGTAAATTATAGAGCGCCTCTAAGACGCTTGAAGATAGTTGCAACAAATTTTAAAAGATGCATTTGCTCTTTGTTCTGTACATAATAATCAGTTAAAGTATAGACACAAAATTTTTCTTGATATGTTATTCTGATATTATGTTAAATATTTACTCAAAGATTCTCAAATTCGGATGTTTCAAATTATTTTCACAACGTCTAGAGCAATGCAAATTAATTTAAACAACAAATTAGTAGCTTGCATATGTGAAAGATTGTATATACATGTAACATATTCTGTTAAATGAGGTGTGAAACTTAAAAAAAACTTAAGTCTGTAATTTAAGACGTGAAGCAAATAATGAATTTGACTGGTACATAAATGGGGAGAAATTAAATATTGTTGATAATTTTTGCTAACCTACCGGAAACGCAAAAGCAGAAATGTAAATTCACAGTGTTATAAAGTTAAATGTTTGTTATTCAGTATAGTGTTGGTTTAAGTAATGTTATGTTTAATTTTGATCCAAACTTTTATAGAGTTTTTAAACAAGAAATATTTAGCCAGTATAAACAAAACTAGATATCGTTGATTCAGAATGTATGTCAAAGATGAGATATATTAAGCAATTTACATCTGAATCTTATGGAATCTATCAGGAATAATTAAATGTTATATACAGAGATAATAATTGCAATACACCAAATTAAAGTGGTCTGTGTTATTGGTATTGATAGAAACAGTACAGTATGTGAATTATGTTGTTGGATCAGAATATTATTTTCTACTTTGTTGCTTTAAGTAATTCGCATACTGTGTTAGACATAAATAGTTTGTTTATACTGTTAAGCTTTACTCTAATAAATATATCAATATAATGTCCTTTACCACCAGGAAAAGACTGATTTAAATGAAGTATTTGTAGGCGATGTCTTTATAATACGTGAACAAACTCTTAGATATGTAACTGTTTCATGGGAAATACATGGAAATATATTTGAATTCACACTTTATTACATAATATCTTTTCTTTTTTTTTGTTGGTGCCCCTGATATCTCTTATGATAGAATTCGATATGACAGTGACGCATTTTCTATTTCTTCATAATTGGTGATTTCTTGTTTCAGAATCAAAGCTTAAAATTTTGCGACAAGAGCTTAGGAATTCCAAATCTTCAGCCTTTGCAGACGGGACAAATAAAAGTTTGTGTGTTCAGTTGGAGAGTATCTTATTTTGTTTGTATTTTACATTCAAATTTCTACTTGGTTCCACTTTACTCTTCAATTCCATGCACAGGTTTTGTGTATTTGTGTATTAATGCTGAATCTTTATAAGAATTGTATTCATACACGTATATGTCTTGACCATATTTGTAAAACATATTGTAAGCAGTCAAATACGTTTGAATTGCCATAAAATGAATTGAAAATTAAAGCTGTTTGTAAACGCAATAACACCATACATGTTTTATAATGTATTAACAAGTGTAATAATATTTCTTGCAGTTGGAAAAGTAAGTGACATGTAACTTTTACAAACGTGAATAAAAGCATTTTTTACCTTTATATCTTAAATAGGCCATTAAATTCACATCAAATAATACATAATAGATGGTAAATAAAGCTATGAAAATTAAAGTTGGTTAAATTAAAAATACATGACGACTCATTTGTAATATATATTTATTCATTTCGTGTATTTTTATGTTTCAGAAAATAACAACGCTTACACAGACTCAGAAAACACTTGCTGCTGTTTAAACAAATTTCCTGCAAATATTCCAAGTAATATAACCAGTCCGACTGATGAGAAAGAGTAATATTTGGAGCAAGAATCAGGGTCATTAAGATCTACAAAGGCTATCTGAAATATAAAAAGAACATTAATCAACTTAAATGTAGTCACAGACAAAAATCTTTGCTATTGGTAGGTTATGGTGAAATTTTAAACATAATGGTAGTTAATCGCTACTAAAAATATAAATAACATTAAGAAAGTTTTTAGAACAATATATATCAAAATTAAGTTAAGAGATTAAGCACTAGTTATATTAAAATGTATAATTATTTATTTTCTACCACCAACCACTGTGTAATGTGATAAACAACACACTTGAATCTTATTCATATATAATTGTGATTTTAGAGTTTTAATAAGTTAAAACAACGCTAACAAATTAGAACAAAGAGTTTCTGTTTTAAAAATTAAATATACACTGGTACCTAATAAATAAATTAATACGAGTATTCCATAAATTTACATTTTATTTTACTGAGTAAACAGACTTTACGCAAAAGCATGATGACAACAAGATTGTCTTTACCTTATATGATACCATTGCATATGACACAAGTAGGGACAGAAAATATGGCCATGTTTGATGAAATATGTATCCAGTTATTACAAGGGAGATTACGAACACCAAGCTCGTCGCCCACAGCCATATTTTTGTTTTATCACTAAACTTTAAAGCCGCTGATTTGACACCAATTATTTTATCAATATGTTTATCCTGAAATATTCAAATGAAATTTATTTTGAGACTTGAGATCATTGAGTCAAGCACTTTTAAATGTTGATAATTTAGTACCGCTCAAACCGGTGCTAGGGGGTGTGAGGGATGTTGCTCTTTTTCATTATCCCTCATGTACAGACTCAATGAAATCGAGCCTGCAATGTCCATGTATTTGTACTGTTTTAATCCTTCCGAGATATCACTTTTTTCCAGATACTTTTTCTTAAAACAATTTGCTTTTCTGAAATATGGATTCAAGTCAGAATTACTGTTCACACTTATTTTTTGCATATCAGACTGGCGTTTCCGTGAGATTTACCCATGCCGGAAATTTCATCTGGCATGGGGTGCCAGATGAGTCGCGTGCTGCACAATGGCATGCTTAGGATGACGTAATTTTACCGTTATGAATGAAGTTGTAATTCATACACTGTTCTTTCTTTTAAAAAGGTGTATGACTAACAAATCTAAATAATATCCCTATGAATCAAACTCAATTATTTTACTCCAGTGAAATACACAACTTTTTAAAATGGCGGCCGCTTAAATTACATCAAGCCAGGTTTAATATAAATTCGCAGTAAGTAACAGAAATATAGATGGATGGTTGGACATTTTCTCCTAGAAGTGTTTGCTTTTATTATTAAAACAAGCGATAATTCATATCTTTTAATAAAATGAATGATATCACCGCCATTTGAAGTTGATTGTGGAACTTATTTTTCATCCCAAGACTTCTTGTATTTTAAGATTTTTAACTTCGACTAATACATGTACCTTATAGACTACCAGTGGGTAAAACTGGTTTTATTATTAAGGAAATTTCGTTTTAACTTGTTTTTAAGTATGTAATAAAATGAAAATTTGTTTTTTTATAAGTTGTGTAAGATGTTTTTTTATTTCATCTCGGGATTTTTAAAAAAAGTATTCTCACTGGTGCACTCGTGACTACGCCTCGCGTGAGAATACTGTTTTTAAAGCCCACTCGATGTAATGAAATTTTACCTTACACACAAACAAACAAACAAATATCCTCAATATGTGTTTATAGGATATTTAGATATGATACCAGTGGTTAAATCTTTCTTTTTTTAAATAGTATATTGTATGAAGATAGGATGTAGTCTAATTTAATCATTTTCTCGATGCATATACAAATAAAAAATGTATTTTTTACTCTAAGAATATACGTACAGTTTATTGTTTAAGCACAAATCGATAACCATGAATTGTAGATTTACATATGATATTACGTCAAAATATAAGAAACGTATCTATTTTTGTTACATTAGAACAAAATACATTGATTTGAATAATGCATGTATTTCTTAAGTAAATCCTTGATAAATAAGACGGCGAGGTACTATTTTATGTAAACAACACAGTTTGAAATGTCTATTGTTTTGAAATAAAACACGTGTGATAATTTCAAATGAGGAAAAAACGCAAAATAATTACTATTTTATGGTACGTTAATGCTTAGTTATATGTTTTTTATCCATTTAAATTACAAGGAAATCGAAATTGGAGAAAATATGGACTATCTAGCGTGAAAAGAATTAGCTTCAAATATAAGTTAAATGGATAAGAATCTATCTTCAGAATTTAAGATACCTCGCCGATAAAAGATAATATGTTAAATAATTAAATGTGTTCGTGTTAAGTGCCACTACGTGCATAATTTAAAGCACAAGCGGGTGTCTGAATAGAACCAACGATTTTTTTTTCAAGCTAGCCATAGAAAAGTCCCTGGCGGATTGGAGCCCCCCCCCCCCCTTTCCCCTCCTGGTGAAAAACAAGTGACTTAAAAGTCAGTGGCCAGGAAAGACACATTTGGATAGTATATTCGTGGGTAATGATATAATGCCTGCTTTTTAAACATGTATTTTGGCAGCTTAAGTGTTATATTGAGACTACATAACTTCCGATCATCTTTTTATTCCGTTTTATTTAGTTCCGTCCATTGTAAAGGGCACGACCATACACCGGTTTTCATGGAATGTCATGAACGTGTCACATTGAAAGTACGTATACGGATTTTTTTTTGGAAATTATATTTCCGAGCTAATATATAGAGATATAATTGTGAGGGAACGGAAATTTTACCGTGCTGTATATATCATTGAAGCGTAGCTCAATATTCTGCTAATCTAATTAAGTGAAACAAATTTGTTACACGTGACTTTTCACGGGTTTAAAAAATTGCGGGAATATGTATACCGCGAAAAGTGCTACATATCATACATGTATACCTACCTAGTACTATCTCTGGGAAATGCATGAATCTTTTTGATACCGGATAAATGGTAGAACTAACTGCACACATTGTCAAAAGCCAGAGGCTGAAATGTAGCAATCCAAAATTAAATACGATGTCAAACAGAGCAGGAACTTTAGCTTTACCTGAAAAGACGACAAAATGATTCACCATCGTATAATTATGTTTTATGTCGCTTTAAGAATTGAATACTCCCCACACCGGTGCTAGGGAGGTATTGAGATGAAGCTCCTTTTTTACCATTTAATAGTTCAGCTAGCATTTTCTTAAAGTTTATGTTTTTCATTGCTATCTATAAAAGTTTCATTTTCGTCAATTTTACTTTGTAAAAGTAAAATGATTCATGACTTATATTGCAGAATACTTAAAGTAAACTTGTAACTTTCTTTTAGGTGGACTTGGAACAATAAAGTTTAATTATTTACCATATGTAATTAAACTGCAAAAGTAATGATATTCCTATTGACAAAAGGATGGCGAGATAACATTTTGCTTTTGTCAATGATAGTTCTCCAGTTAGTAATGGTCGCCCTTGAGTACGCTTCACCTGTTAGTAAATTAAACAACAGAACAAAAAACTTTTATGTAAAGAATTGTCAGTCGATGGCGATATTTTCTTTTGACAATATAATAAACTTTCGTGATATTATGACTTGTTTTGACGGTGTATCATACAATAACAAGAGTAACAAGTCATAAATGTAAAAACATGCATTGTACTCGAGTAATAAACTTCAAGAACAATTATATATGATCCAAAATCATGTACACAGTTTCGTGTGATTTTTCAGTGGTTAAGGAGGCAAACCACAAAATTTTTGTTATTACACAAATGGAGTATCATTCAGAAAATAGTCATCCTAGAATTAATGGTGTTGGACACTATAATTGCTAAAGAAATGTATAATGTCTTCCTAAAGAAATGTATAATGTCTTCCTAAAGAAATGTATAATGTCTTCCTAAAGAAATGTAGAATGTCTTCCTAAAGAAATGTAGAATGTCTTCCTAAAGAAATGTAGAATGTCTTCCTAAAGAAATGTAGAATGTCTTCCTAAAGAAATGTAGAATGTCTTCCTAAATGTAGAATGTCTTCCTAAAGAAATGTAGAATGTCTTCCTAAAGAAATGTAGAATGTCTTCCTAAAGAAATGTATAATGTCTTCCTAAAGAAATGTATAATGTCTTCCTAAAGAAATGTAGAATGTCTTCCTAAAGAAATATATAATGTCTTCCTAAAGAAATGTAGAATGTCTTCCTAAAGAAATGTAGAATGTCTTCCTAAAGAAAAGTAGAATGTCTTCCTAAAGAAATGTAGAATGTCTTCCTAAAGAAATGTAGAATGTCTTCCTAAAGAAATGTATAATGTCTTCAGTCTATAGATATAATGGCAGTGAGATCTGTCAATACCGGGGAACCTCTTTTATAGATTATTTCCTTTAATTTGATTCTTCTATAATTAATAAATTACTTAAAATCCGCTTTTGCCATGACACCATAATCCAATGTATATCGGCGTTACAAAATTGTCCAATGAAATTAGACGTTACATACATACAACATTTTCCAGTTATGTTAAGGCGCATATCACATACATGTATATTATTTAAATGTGTCGATTAAAACCTCTATGTTTTCGTATTTTGTTTGTATTATGAAAAACGGAACAATATAAAACTGTTATGGTAATAATCACCTGACGGTCAATCGATCTGTCAAATATATCATTTAGAATAAGTCCTGCACCGTGTAGAATAAATGATTCAAGAAAGAACAGCGTCAGGAGATAAACATTTGGCAAGTTACTTGTATTGGACAGTTCTATACACCAGGCGGTAGGCCAAAATACCATCACATTCACTGAAAGAATTACAAAAAAATATATATTAAATAACTACAAATGTTACAAATGTTGTGAAATATGTTATGCTAAACGATCAGATAGTAAACTTTATATAAAATGTAGACTTGATTTGTCGTCTGTAATAACAAAATCACACGATCGTATCATTTCACATTTTAACCTTTCTACACGAATACCTAAGTCATCAACCTTTAAATTTATAAAGTTAAAATACACGTAAACTTTGTCCTCTCTGCGCTATTTCGAGCTTCAAAGCATGAAATTACTAAATGCTTGATAAAAATATATAGAGGATACTCAAGTTTTTTCTATAAATACTTTAATTATTTTCATTGAGTGGTATGACAATAAACATTTCATGAGTGGCGGTAGCCACGATTGAAACATGATAATTTTTTTACCACAAAAATTAATTTACAGAAAAAAAAAATCGTCGTACTTACTAATAATTTGTCATTCTAAAAGGGGACAGGGAACCTAAAAATGAACAATTTTGTATTTCAGTGTGGCCAGAAACACAATTCCAAATATTTCAAAATCTGTTTCATAGTCAGATAACCAGTTGCACAGCATTATTCAATGATATACATGTATGACATACTTTGAAGAAAATAATAGTTTGCAATGACTGACAGCAATTTATATTTACCCCCACCCATCCAAAATCACACCTAAAATATACCAATATGGACAATCGTCAAGGAGGTACAGCATACTCCATAAAATTTATCCGGAATTTCTTACTTGTATGGCGCCAACTGTCAAAGCTTGATTTTTAACTTTTTCACCTCCATTCGGAGAGTCACAAATACATACAAAGCTACCAAAATTCTTAGTTTCGGGTAAAAACCCAAAAATGCTCCTCATTTCCTACACACAAGAAAGACTAACTTTGACAAAGAAATATCAGAAGTGTCCAGTACCTTCAAAACACCATGTCTGAGTTATTAAAAAATTTGATAAGGGCCATCATTCGGATATGTCCCCTGCCCCCTGATTATCAACACTTATTGTTTAAAGCTGTGCAACATAGCACTTGTTTGCTAATAAACTGAAATGTATTTCCCTTTATTCACCGACTTATTAAATTTTTGACCTCCAAAACAGTACTGAGCTCTCTTTTGAATAAAGAAGAAGAAAAAAACTTACGTGTAGGGTCATGCATTCTGATAATTTTTAGATACGGTTTCATCTGCTCTGGGAACATGTCCACAAACGCCATAGCCAAGCTCATAATTATTTATTCACGTGTATGTACAAAGATAGTACTGATTTTATAGATAAAAAATGAAATGTTCAATGAAACGAAAAAGAAAGTCATAAAGCGACCATCAAAGTCATTTCATTAATTTTAATGTAAACGTAATGCACTATTTCATTTCAACTTGTCGGTTCAATTCACTTTAGATGTAATGGTTGTTGGATAAACCAAATATATTGGGACTTTAATGTATTGGCTATAAGCAAAGGGTGTCAGTTTTCTAAGAAAAAATACATCATGTTTCTTGAAATAATTTGTGTTTGTTTTTTGTATTTTTGCGTCATACTTCTTTATCGCAAAATTTCAACAAAATTCAATGTTTATTGATGGGCCAAAAGGTTTACCAGTTTTCGGATGTATATTAGAATTCGGACACGAAAACATGTATTCAAAATTTTGGACTTACGCAGAGAAACATGGAGAAATATTTCTTGTAAAAATGCTATGGGAAAATGTTATTGTTCTGAATAGCTCACAGCTGATAAAGAAGGCCTTTTCTGATAAAAGATATAGGCAACAATTCAATGACCGGCCAGATGCGTTTTATGGTCAATATTTCTTAACAATGAGTCAAACTGTTGGGTCAACGAAATATGGTTCCGCTGCCTTCCATAGAAATGCCAAACAGCAATTTATACACGCACTACGTGTGTATGGACCTGGTGTCACAGAATTTGAAGACTTATTCATGGTTGAAATTGATAAGTTTATTAAGGAAATAGAGCAGAAAGATGGCAGTTTATTCAATTGTCAAGAAATCATCGATTCTACGCTTTCAAATACTTTATCAATTTTAGTAAGTATACCTTTTTTAATATATAATTTTGTACATGATAAATAAAATATAGTATCTCATACCCTTAAGTAATCAAACAAATGAAATTGCATACTTGCTAACAAGTGCACTATAAAAACATTGCCGAATCGATATTTATATGATCACAAGTAGTATAAATGTCATCAGTTATTTTCATAACTAAACCAGATTTAAAGATTTTATTTTATAAACAACTATTTTTTATAACCAAAGCTTAGTGGGAATTCAAAGACAGATTTTGACAGGAATATGTTCTGGGACCATGCGGATGGTGCAGACTTCTTCCTCAATGCTAACGTTAACGTGGTAATGTTGGCACTTCCGGTCCTCCGATTCCTCCCAGGAAAATACAGTCATCAATTTCGTAGTGCAAGGAAAGCTTTTGAAAAGTTAAAGAAATATTTTCAAAATATTCAGGTAAGAGCACGATTAAAGATGCTTATATATGGCGTACATGTATCGTGTTGCAAACACCATGAACATGCTACATAAATGCTATATTTTAAGTGCTGATGAAAAATAACTTTTAAGAAACTAATAAATTAACAAATAAAATAAGTTAAGCTTTCAATAGACATTATAATATAAGATGACTTTTCATTTTAAAGCATCTGTGTAAAAGCATGGGAGCAAGATAACACCAAACTTACATTTTCAGTTTTGAAAATTTCAGGCTGATTTTAAACCTGGTGAAACAAGAGGCTTAATAAACAATTATCTTGAATATCAAAGGCAAGAAAAGTCTGCTGGTGAGCAAATATCCTTCACAGACGACAAAATAGTTGGACAATTAGCCGAGGTTGCAGTTGGAGGTATATAAATCCACTTTGAAATATATCTCTTATCTTCTCAAATTAATTTCCCATGTCCAATTGTATTACCTTTTATGTCTTATCAAATTCAAAGTGATATTTCATGTAACTTCCGATGTTTCTTTGTTTGGAAATTATTTTATGTAAAGATTTGATATACTGATTTTTATATAAAACTGACGCTTCATTGTTTTTATATTTTTGTTTGGTATCTCTTACCAAGACCTTTATCATATATTCAGGTATGTTAACAATACGATCAATGTTAACGAATTCCATTCTTGTGTTGCTGAATCACCCAGAATATCAGTCAAGAATCCAAACTGAGCTTGATTTTCACATTCGCAAGGACAGATATCCTATACTTGATGACATGAAAAAGTGTATATTCTTACAAGCATTCGAGATTGAAATGGAGCGCTATTTAAATGCTGTGCCGTTGTTATTGCCTCATTTCTGTCGGGACAAGATCAAGCTTGAGGACTACGAAATTGCTGCGAATACAACGGTCTGTATATAAAAATAGATTATTTATTTTACATGTAGTTCAATTGCATTTCGAACTCATACACCATTTCAGTCAAAACTTATCTGCCAATTAGATTTTGAATATATTTGTTGTCTTTTCGTGGCTCTTTTTAATCCAAACTTATCTTCCAATCTATCTGATTAAATGTATTTGTTGTCTATAGTTTGTGGCTCTTTTTTCTTCAAAATTGACATACCTTTCTCTTACTTGATATAAAAGCTAGTGGTCATGTTTGAAACAAAGTTAGTACCTTATTGGTTATAATTATTGGCTGTACTACAAAATGCTTATATCTAAGACAATTCATATTAATGTAATGAAATGGACAGTTATATTAATTGTATTGGTTAGTACGTAAAGTAGGTGGAGCTTAACGTTTAATCAGATCAAAGGTACTTTGTGTAAAGTACTTTAAATTGAGCTTTTTTTTGTATTTCAATCGAAATTTTTGTCTCTTGATTCATTAATGTAGATGTGAAAAATATTTACATTTGAGTTCCTCTTCAATCGCATTAACCAGGTTGGTAAATAGCTTGTTAAACTGTTTTCATAGTATTAGCTATTTGATAGTATTACAATTTTCATAAATGCGTTTTACGTGTTTTTGTCAAAACTCAAGAATTTGTCAAATTCAATCAGAATTTGTCTTTAGTGGTTGAATTGAGTTGTCGATTTCTTTTCCATTTTGGTAGAAAGGTGACCAGAAATATTGACAATTAAGTCAGTTACACAATTTTAACTTACAGTTGAATAATTTCCTCAGAGATTAATGTATGATAATTTTACACTTTTGAACAAGTTGACATGTTTGCTGAAATACTTATAACATAGCATGCCTATAAGGTGTGTAGATTTGGCAACTCAAACAAGTTATGTATCAGTTAGGCACTTCTTGATACCAAAATGTTATCTGTTAAACAGAAAATTGTATTTATCATTTGCTACATTTGCTAACGACTCCTTTGGCATTTTTGCATTTGTCTGCTCTGCATATTATATCGGTCCGAAGATTTGTACATGGGATCAAATTTTTATATTTTATCCCCGCACAACAATTCGCCTCAATGTTAAATCGGCGACAAATAATTAAATGATAATCTATTTTATATGTACCAGATCTATGTAATAATTGCAGGTAATAGCCAATGTTTGGTATGTCCACCATGATCCAAAAGTTTGGGGCGATCCTTGGACATTCCGGCCTGAACGATTTCTTGATCATGAAGGTAATCTACTGCCGCAAGATCATCTGCTGCGCAAAAGGTAACATAGTTGCATGATCCACACCATTAAACACCTCAACATGCATATAACAAAAGAAAAAGACATTTTTTAAGTGAATAACCAAACAATTAAATATGCTGTTTCTTTTATATTACAAAGAAAAACAACTATTACAGAAAAATAAAGACTAGAACAATACAAATATTAATAGCAATATTTGTTAGCGAAACATTATTAATGATGTCCATGACAAATTATGAAAAATTACGTAAAGAGTAATTCACCTAAGGAGATATTTATAATAAAGGAAATGGTGTTTAACTTTTATTGAGCTTAATTTTGAATTATACATTCCCCAGTAACATGTTTAGCGAGATATTCTTACATAAACAAAATTCATATTTCTTTATTAAAAAATTAAAATTCAATGAATAACAATAATAGATATGAGTGACAACAATATTGAAATGTTTCACATATTTCAAAATTATTGTCGTTGATACTTATAAAAGAAAGAAAAAAAAAACACATACATAAGTATGCAAATAAGCTGATGATGCTCAAGACATATCCCCCTCCCCATAATATTATAGTTTAGTATATCTAAATGCGCATACAAATGTCTTATTTAAAAATGAATAATTCATTTAGCATAAGTCTATAAATTCATATTAAATAAATAAATCACAATCGTAACTGAATCGACTCGGGTACAAAAACAAATATGTGTTTTGTACAATAACTGGCAAACGTATTGATTTCTTGCTTTTAATGAAAATTAATTAACGTTGTATACATTCAACGTATGCCATGCTTGTTGAAAACGAGAACTAATCGTGCCCTGAAATAGGAACAAATCTACTCACGTTGTGGCATCTACTGTACCAAGTGGTTTCGTGAATGAATACATTTTTGTTCCAATTTAATGTAATTTTATATACAATTACTTTACTTACTGTATTTATGTATCTTTTTCTTTTCAAAGTGTCCTAACGTTTGGATATGGACGTTGGAGTTGTCCAGGTGAACTGTTTGGTAGAACCCGCAACATGCTGTACATTGCTGCGATATTACAGCGCTGGAATCTAGAGTTTCCACCCGGCCAAAGTATGCTATGTGACCCAAGTATAGAGGGTATATACGAAATGAAATTTACCATCAGAGCGAAACATTTCTTGTGTCGAACTATAAAAAGAACTTAACGTATGAATCGCTGAGGACGTTTTGGATTTAATAGTAGCGTTCAATTTCATTCTTGCTGTGCTGTCTACATAATTCCACGCATAAATTGTTTTTTTAATAAAAAAGTTATTTTTTTTATTTTTTAGTTTTATTTATTTAGTTGTTTGTTTTGTTTTTTTTTTTTTTTTTTGGGGGGGGGGGGTAGTATCAATTAAAGATATGTATTAATTTATTTAACTTAGGCTTAATAACGAC